TGCAAGTTTTTGGAAAAAAAAGAATGATAAAAATATTTCAAAATAATTAAGTACGGAAACGAGGTTGCTTAACAAAAATTTAATTTTGCTATTCCTGTTCACTCAAAAAAAAACACAGTCGTCAAGATTTTTAGGGCACTTTGTCGTATGCTTTTTTAACAGAAACAAAGAGTTAACAAACCTATAGTAATGACTCTGCAACAGCGAAGATATTTCAATGGCACTTAATTCCAGCACAAGCCCCTGAGCGGTGACTTTCAAATTTTTTAACACAACGTTCTCCTCTTCCTCAGTGTATTCATCGGTATTCAAGAACAGCGGAGATAAAACCAAGCGATATATGAGATCATAATTTGACCGCAGGAACCTCAGAATAAGTGCAGAGCAGCTTGTATTGAGTGATACCAGCCGCAGCTGAAAGAAAAAACATCTCATACAAAAAGAATAATTGGTCAACGTACCGGGTGCCGGTGCGAAGATGCGTTTTTTGTAGAGTTCCCCGCAGTTTTTGTCACCCCGGCACCAGTTTTTCCAGCAAATGCTTCTAGCTAACGAAATTAAGACTGGCCGCCAGAACTGTCAGGAAACACCCCCTTAAAATTCCAGTTTTCTAGCTTTCCTGGCTCCCGAGTTAGCAACTTGCTCGAAGAAAACTTTCACTGGCCTGTACGTTGGCACCACGCATACCAGTGTCTGGGTTTCAGCTCATTAATACCGACTGGGATGGGGAACATCCCTTTAAAATTCCAATCCTCAAGCTTCTCAAGTTCCCGAACTATCAACTTACCCGAAAAAAACTTTCACGGGCCCGTACGTGGATACCACTAGGGGGCGACCATTTTGGCAATTTCGGCCCGTACGTGCATGTAGATCAAGTTCCCAAAGTTTCAGCCCTATAGCTTTTGTAGGTCTAGAGATGAAAAACCGCGACAGACGAACACACAGAAAATATGCATTTTCTGCATTGCAAAAATGCAAAAAATGCATAAAAATTAGCCAGAGTACTGACTGTCGGTGTAAAGATGCGTTTTTTACACAGTTCCCTCACACGTTCTTGTCGCTAGCGGCACTATTTTTTCCGCAGATGCTTCTTGCTAAAAGAATTGAGACAGGCCACCACGGATGTCAGAAATTATTACAGTGACCCCTAATCTATGCTCAGAAAATTCAACACTTTAGGTCTTAGGTGGGCAACCGCCGGTCTGTGACTGGTTTTAATCGCGGTGGCAATCGGAATGTGTTGCCTACGAGATGAAGAAGGAGGTCGTATTCCGCCAGGCCAATACATTCTCATGAAAATAAACAAATAGCGGCATGCACCAGAGCAGCCCATTTGCCTTGCATGCAAGAAAAGATCAAAACACTGACGCATGAGTTGTACGTATTAAACTGTAAAGCAACAACCATTCATACTGTTAACGATCTGACTGCATCAAGATTTGCTTGAAAAAGCATGGGATAGAATAATGCGCTGCTACCTGGGTTTTATTAACCCAGGCTGGAACGCACCGGGCGGGCCCGAGCGATCATGCGTTTTTGCACCGGACTTGAAGTACTCAGTTCATTAACTGTATGGATGGTTGTTGCTTTACACTTACTTTTTGCAGTCACTAGCATAAATCAATATAAATTTTGCATAAAACAAATGTACAATTTCCATTTAACGACCGTTCTTTAAAAGCAACCTAGCTGTTCAGTGAGAAACTTTCCCGCTAAAACTTTTAAGCGTCCAGACGCAACAACTACGTATACCTTAAGGCTAAATTTGAAATATTTAAGTTATATTTCGACAGGAAATATTCCCTAAAATTTCAGCTTTCTAACTTTTCTGGTTCCCGAGTTAACAATTTTCCAGCAGAAAATTTCATACGCCGTTATTTGAGTACAATGCATAGTTGGAGGCTGAATTTGAAATATTTGAGTTGTACTTGGACAGGGAACACTCCCCAAAATTTCAGCCTTCCAGCTTTTCTGATTACCGAGTTAGCATTTTTCCGCCAAAACTTTCATGGGCACTCCACCGTACGTGGATACTCCACATGCCTGGGAAGCTGAGTTTGAAAGTTTTAAATTGCACGTGGACAGGTAACATCACCCTAAAATTTCAGCCTTCCAGCTTTTCCAGTTGCCGAGCTAATTCCCCCGCCAAATCTTTTACATGCTCGTGCGCATACCTGAAGGCTGGATTTAAAATGTTTATGTTATACTTGGACCGAGGACATTCCCCCAAAATTTCAGCTTTCTAGCTTTCCCGGTTCTCGAGTCAGCAATTTTCCCTCAAAAATTTTTATACACCTTCACGTGAGAACCACGCAAGCAGGGAATATTCCTACAAAGTTTCAGCCCCTCGTGTAGTTCCCAATATCGCATTCCTGCCAAAGAATTTGCATATTTTTTAAAGCGCCCGTGCGTGGCACCCAGCGTCCGCGCGGGGGAGGGGGTTATATTAAAACGGGAGGATCGCGCATGGTATGGGCAACACATACTTCCAAAATTTCAGCCTTCCAGCTTTTCTGGTCCTCGAGTTGAAAGTGGGTGACAAAAAGTGCGAAAACACACACTCACACACACACCCACACACACACACACACACACACACACACACACTCACACACACACACACTCACACACACACACACA